ATTGAAATTCAGGCAAATTTAAAATTTGCCTAGGCAAAATTGAAATTTTAATTTTGCCCAGTCAAAATTAAAATTTCAATTTTGACTAGACATTGCTTGGGCAGAATTGAAACTTCAATTTTGCCTAGGCTAAATTAAAATATAGCTAGGAATAAATTCATACAATGAAAAAATTAAAATCTGAATAGAAAAACTTTATTATTGAAAAATATTTCTTCATTTAATTAAACAATTCCAAGAGAATACAGTTCAACAAAATCTTTTAATCTATTCACCCATATTAGTCTCTTTTACTTTTGATAAAGAACGTGATTGTATGAATTTATTCCTAGCTGCATTTTAATTTTGCCTATGAAAAATTGAAATTTCAATTGTGCCCAAGCAATGTCTAGGCAAAATTGAAATTCTAATTTTGACTGGGCAAAATTAAAATTTCAATTTTGCCTAGGCAAATTTAAAATCTGCCTGAATTTCAATTTTGCCTACAACATATATGCATCTTTAACTTTTCCGTTGCTTGTTCCCATTTATATATTAGTTCAAAATAAAAAAAAAATATTCTTCGGTTGTAACTTTAATTTTGACATACATGTACCTTATAATAAAGAAACCTGTTAATGAGCTGATCTATTCAGAATCGAGAAACTAAATATACTACTATGTTGTAGTGCAGGTTGAGGCTTGTTGAATGGTATAACGTACATCTTATTTTCATAAGGCTTTGGAGAAATTAGAGTCAATTCACTGATAGATGACTATGCACTCAAACTATAATAAGTTATTGATCATTATAGTTCTTGATATCAGTCGAAAATATTTGTAAACAAGTTTTTATTCTATGCAGCTTTGTAGAGATTCCATGAGCTGCAAGCTCATATACATAGCATTTTCTATCTTTCTATTTTTCACAGAAAAAAAAAATGCAAATTTTTCAATGCTTTATCATCGTTTTTCGCTAATGATGAGTCTCTGTGTCTTCAATGGTATCGACCATAAAAAATGTGACCAGACGCCAAACTTTCTCAGGAATTGCCCACGATGTAACATTACAAAACATACTATTTGTGAACTATTTGTTAATATTTGCATTAATATTTCGCCTTTTAATACTGTATTTCGACATTTTCACTATCAACAGTGGATTTTGGTACGAAATAAACATGATATTCAGGATTAGCATAACAAACTACATCGAATAGCTTATGTTTTAACTAAATATATTTTATTCTTTAACATTTGACCAGTACTTCTCCTCAGCCATTTTTTCCTCAATTTCGCCTTGTGTTTCGTCACAAGTCAAATTTTAGTGGAAAAAATAGTTAGTTAAAATATAAGCCAGTCACTGGAGTTTATTATGCGTATTACGAAAATTGATGTAAAATGACCACCGTACTTAGATGTTAGCTAGAGGATACTTGACACAGCTTATACAATTAGCGGACGGAAGCAGGATGACTTTTTCCTCTTAAATTTTTCGTATGTTCCGCATTTCTCACTAGAATGTTTTGTTCTGGATAGGTAATATTTTTAATCCTTCGATGTATAACAGATTACATATGTAAAAGCGAAGTTTTGTTTGCAATTTTTTTTCAAGAAAACCAGTTATTTTCTTTTGAAGAGAAATATTTAAAAAAGATAAAAGATAAGAACAAACGTTAAAAGTATGATTCGATCTTCAACATATATCAAACTCATTTGATATATACTGCAAAATACTATGTGAGAAGTCCAGCTCAATATCTAGACAGCAAATTCAAGTATCATTTTATTGAACATGTTTCAAGCAAGTAGCTTATCAGATATCCGATGAATATCTTATCTTAAAATACCTAAGTTTTCCAATGGTTTTCATGAATTAATGATATCGTGTACTTTTTCCGATATGATACTTACAAACATTTGCGTAAAATATCATAGCTACTGAACAGTCAGTTCTTTAGATGAAGCGATAAAGTTTCAAATAGCTTCATTTTGTTCTCGTCCCTCACTAGTGGAGGATGCGAGTGAAGAAAAGTACATTCACACTCATATCCACACAATAGACAAAATAACATACAATAATGAGAAAGAACATTACTTTTTAAATTATTGATGTAAATAGTTGTTATGTATAGTAAAAATATATTCGTTTCCATTGATTCGAAATTTCTTTACAAATTATTCTAACACAAGCAACAGCGACCGAGGAAAGTGTTCACGACTGATAATGAGAGTTTTAAAATTTTCACTTGAGAATATATTTTTCTAAAAAATACTAATAAATGAATAATTTGTCTATCGCTTTAAAAACTTTTTCCCTTAACTCTTCTCCCTTCTAATCAAAGCCAAATGATAGCTATGACTATATATTGTATAATGGTGTTATAAGACTAACAGATCATGGGACTGGGTTAATGAAAAGGTACAAAGAATACAGAAGTGCTGTTCTTGATATCTTATTCAATAAAAGTTATTCAATGTTACCGTCTTTATCTTCTTTTTTTGTGATAAACTTTTCTGTAATGCTTTACATTCTTAATATGATGTATAGGTTTCTTTGACAAAGGATTTTCGTTGATAAGCTATTCTAGCATCTATGAGAAAACTCACCCGACCGTTATCATGCTGAACACCATCACTAGTGAACATTCCGTTTGTAAATTAAAGTTCATTTCTTTTACAGCTAATCTACAATGCAAAAGTAATTGCTGAAATCTCAATCCGTGATTTTCTGCTTAGAAGCATTGTAGAAAGTTCATTCTTTTTCTAATTGAAGGAGTAAAGTCTAAACGTCAGCAAGCATAGAAAAAATTTTGAGATTATTTATGAATAAGAAAAAATAGTTTTAGCAGCAAAAAATTTTCTTTATTTTTTTGTAGAGTCTAAAGAAAAACAGTTTCTTGAACACCAATTTGATAAGAAAGTGGTTCTTACAAAACTTTATCGACTTACATTTCTCAATAATTCTTTGCCAGTAAAGAAGGTATATTATACGTTTCCATTTCAATAGAAAACACTATTATGCATGAAAACCATAGAACATTGGAAAGAATCTGTTATCCAGGGCTTAAATATGTTGATTCAGGTTAAAACTCATTTGAATTTGTAAAGAATTGTATGTTTTTTCAGAAGAAGAAGGGAAATTCATTTAGCATTTAGAAACTATTATACATATCAGATGACCTATTTTGTGACATTGATGAAAAACTTATAAATTTTCAATCTGGATGTGGATTACAACATCATTTATCATACCTCACCTGAGACAATGATAAAACGACCCCTAGCTTCTATAGTTATATAATTTGAAACCTAACGTATTATAGGGGAAAAGAATAATTCGGTAAGAAAGATACATTTGGTATTGGACTTTTTCTCCGACTAAAATCAATTCAAAAAAACTTTGTTTCCTATATTTTTTGAAGCTCAGTCATTACTCTACAAAACAGGAAAACAATGAACTCTCTACAATATTATTGAACGAAGAATAATGGGTCGAGATTTTGGCAATATCTTTGACATCGTAGATTAAGTAAATACTGAAACAAGAAAATATAAGAAATACATCACAATGCCATAAAAAAATTAATACAAAACAATTGTTATGAATATATAAAATGATTCTTCACTTCTAATTTATAACAGCTATCGCCTTTTAAAATAGGGTTGATTGTAACGTGTCGTAGCTTCTATATCACTATAGCGTAACAAATAATAAATATGTTTTATTGCATATAAAAAAAAGTTAAAAGTTCAACTTAAATTTCAACTCAAAAGATTCTAAGTCTTATCGTAAATTATACAAAATTAATATTAATCGTTTTCCTGGAATATTAACACAATGTTGTGAAAACTCTGATAGACTTCTGTTTGAAGATATTTTATTAATCAATATAGATAATGTATGATTTAACCTGATTCGTACCATCATGTATTGCAAGGCATTCAATTGTGTTCCTCTGTGTTGTCTCTTATATATTATATGATGTTCACTTTGTGTCACTCACTAGTGTATGTCGTGCGATCTTTCTCTTCGAATATCCATTGATTATACGAAAATCTACAATCGTTATTATGTATGAGATAATACCAAACCTAATTATTATATTGGTTTTAATATAATCATGTCATCATAGAAATCTGGTGGAACTGTAAAGACATGTTTGTTCAAAAATAAAATAACCGTGGACTGTAAAACTGTCTAATTTTTGACTTTGTAGTTTAATTACAAGTAAATAAATCTTTATGAAATCAAAATATTATTTTTTTAATTGTATAATCTTCATGAGTAATAATTTAGGGTCGCGTTGAGAATCAATTAAATACGAGTCATCTGTACAAGAAATGAATCGAAGAATCACCAATGTGTTAATATGGCATTTCCTGTTTGATATTTCAATATAAATCTCATCTAATACATTTTGATAAATATAATTCAATTTAAAAAAAAGAATGAACATCTAGAAGATAGATAACATTATATTAAAAAAAAACTTATCGATCAATAAAGAAAGATATATTTGTTTTGCTCGTTTATTTTTTTCTAAAAAGAAAGCAAATGAACGACTAGTTTCTAGTAAAATGCTGAGAATAATAATTGATAAAACGAAAAAGAACAACAAATCAATTCAATTAGTTTTATGTTTTTTTTGCTCGTTCAGCTTCATCAATAGCAGCCATATCAAGTGCAGCTGTATAAAGATGAATCAAACTAATTATTTGTTTTAATACCATTATTGGTGTTACAATAAAGAGAATAAGGCGCCAAAGACCTATTGCATAACCTCCATATGTAATTACTATTAATATAGAAATAAATAACACATCTAAATGCTAATTCTTTTTTTTTTCTTTGTTCTACCTGCAGGACCTTCACCAAAATGAAGCATATAAACCATTGAAAACCAAAGTTCATTACCAGCACACATGGTAAATAGAACTTTCTAAAAAAAAAAAAAAAAGAAAGAATTGAAAAATTAATTACGATATTAAAATTTTTTTATATACACGTGATGTATAATAAAGACGGAGAACAGGATTGCCTGATAGATCGATTTTTTTATGGCTTTCAGAGCCTTTGACTGTTGCTCTAAATATATAACATTCTCTCTAATCTATCGAAAAGAAAATTTTGTATTTACGCATGTAAATGAAGCCAATGACTAGCAACATCAATAGCAGCCCAAAGTTGAAAGAAAAGTGCCCATTTTGGATAAAACATTGCCAAAACAAAACATAAACACATTGTTGAACATCGATCAATAAGCATATCAAACATAGCACCAAATTTTGTACCTGAATTCGAAAAAAAAAATATATATTTTTCTTTTTTCGTCTCATCAATTTACTTTGACCAAGTGCTCGAGCAGCATGTCCATCCAGTGCATCAAGAAATTCACTTGTTAAATAACATATAATTGTAATTTTCGGATGTGTTGGCATAAAATAAAATGAAGCAATCGACAGAAAAACACGTATATAACCTTAAATAAAATTTTAAGTCATTTATAATATTGAATAACATTATCTTTTCTTACCAATTATATTAGGTACAAATAAAAAAATGTTATTTGTTTTAAGTAATGATTGCAATAAATCAATCTTTTGAGATTCTTGAGTAACTCGTCTACTTGCTGACGTACTGCTTGCCATAGTTCACAGTTTTCTGCTTTTTTTTTAATCTGAAACACATAAATAATTATTCCATTGTTATCTTTAGCATAACTGGATGTGAATTTGTCAAAACATTTCTTATTTATTAGTGTATTCTTTAAATCATTTTACCTGAGAATAATACTCATATCCTATTTCAGAAAAATCCATAAGTACTACTACGCAAGAAATTTCTTTTTCCTACTATTTATTATACCTACTTTTAATCAATACTACCTAGTTAAATATTGATAATTGTATTTGTTAGATAAATTTTTATTTCGATTATATTAATGAATAAGTGAAAAAGACTATAATATTATTGAATAAAAAAAAGTAAGAATTGTTTGACAATGCATATTTATACTTTATATATTGTATGCAAATATTGAACTAATCAAATACAGAGAACTTCTTGGTTTTGAAGTACGATTTGTCTTCCTTTAAAAGACAGTCAATTCATATTCATATAAAAGCCAATATATCTTTTCGTTGCTATATCGAATTAGTCATATATCTGCCATTTCTATAGAAGATCATTTTAATTAATTTACGATGTAATGTTGTCTTCATATTTAAACTACTCACGATAGAGAATATATAGATACTCAACAAAACTGTTCATACCTTCAAGCAGCACTCGAAATGTTCATTACAATATGATTGTCGTCATAGTAATGAATATTTGACATAGACAAAAAAAAATTGCATATACATGTTATATAATCTAGAGAATGTGTAATTTGAATTGAATATGTCCCCCTATTTTTTTTTCTTTCGTTTCTTCATCATCATCATGTTTAAAAATGAGAGAACAAAAGATGAAATCAAGCAAGAAGAAAGCAAAACAAAAGTTGATTTTTCTTGTTTTCTCTTATTATACAGTGAAACAAAAAGAAGATCAAATGACAGCAAGAAAAAAAAAACTTCAACAGCAAATCAGAAAGAAGAAACAACTAAATCAAAAACAAAAACAAACATTAAGACCTATCTGCATTTTCCCAAGATAACTTTTCCTTTTTTTTTTTTGCTTTCAATTTTTTTCAAAACAACACAATGACAAAACAACGGAAAAAAAAAGAAATCTATCCATTGACAAGAAATGAACACACATACATATATATATATATATCTAGCTAAAAGCATCAGATACGAATGAATACAGACTTTAATAAACAAAAGACACACACAAATAAGAGGTCATAGAATTGACCGTGACAATAAAGTAATATGCAGCAAGAATAAAGAGAAATTAAACATATACATATATATTTATATAATATTATTTTCTTGGTCGTAATTTTCGTACATATTCTTCACTGGGTGGTTCAGGTGTTTTTTTCGGTGAACTTGTTCGTGCTCTTTTTGGTGGTGTTTGAACTTTTTTACCTTCATTATCAATATTACTTGTTGACGTAATAGAATTTTTTCCTTTGGTTTTTTTTGTTACACTTGTTGGTGATGCTGATGCTCGACGTTTTTTACGTCCTGTTGGAGATGATTTTTTTGATTTATTACCAGTTACATCATCATCTTCATCACCATCAGATGGAATCACATCTTGATCATTACCATCATCTGCAATGCTACTACCTAAAAAAAAAAAATAAAATGAAGATCCAAATAAATTTGAAATAATCAAAAAAAAATCTATATTTACCAGATGTTGAATTTGGTTGATTACTAGCTGTTATAGCATCTTTAGCAATAGTAGCTGCTTGTCGTTTTATACGTTTTGATGATTCATTTTGATTTGTTGTTGTTGTTGTTGTCGTTGCACCGGTGTCATCATTTGTTTGATTTTCTTCAATATTTGTTGATGAAGATGAAGCCGTTTTTCTACCACGTGCTGAATGACGTGTTGGTGTTGTTGATACAACCGATGTTTTAGGTTTACTCCGAGGCGTCTATTAAAAAAAAAACCTATATAATTCAACATAATCTCTTGTTTTCTAACTTTACTTTGCTTTTCGGTTCTGTTGTTTCAGAATCACTTGGTTTAGGTACCTCAGGAACATTATCGTTTGTAGTTGTTGTTGCTGCTGCTGCTTCAATAGCAGGAGGTGGTGCTGTATCAATAGTCGTTGATGAACCTTCATTAGTTGTATCTATTGATGTTGATAATACTGGTTCTGGTTCAGTTGTAGATGGAACAGTTAATTCAACTTGTTCTGATTTTTCAACTGGAATTGGTTCTTCGGTTGGTTTTGTTTCATTCATTGTTTCAACCGTTGGTTTTTCACTTTGACTATTACCATGTACAGCTGTCGAATCACCAGCATCAATATTTTCTGTAACAGATTCTGTTGTACTATTTGTAGTATTTTCAGTACCATTTGTAGCATTTTCAGTGTCATTTGTTGTATCATTTGGTCCATTAGTAACAGATTCTGAAGATGGAGCTACTTTTTCATTATCACTATTTTCATTATTTGTTGATGCTTGAGTTTTTGTTTGAGAAACTAAACCACTACCAAATACAGGTTCTGTTGTTGATGGTGTAAATTCATCGACTGATTGCATTTCTCTTTTTTCAAATTTTTTTATCAAATAGGAAGAAATCTAGAATTTCAAGAAAAAAAAAACGAATTCATTATGTTTTATATCATTGAAATGTTACTAATCGATTACGTAACTATCTAATTAGTGATTTCGTAGTTTTATATTTCTTTTTTTTTTTTTTTTTAATTCTTCGTTGGAAATAATTCTACGAGAAGAAGGAAAGAAACAATCGAAGTATTACGAAAATTTTTTCTATGTTGTAAGTTTTTTTATACAAATAATCATTCTACACCTTAATCACTTCCTTCTGATCTTTGTTCAATTTTAAGTGCATAAGCATGTTAATGAATTAGTTGAAAAAGTCATTTAAAAGAAATAAAAAAACAACGCTAAATTGTATTTGAACTGAAGATGTAAAATTTTGTAAAATAAAACGAAAAAAAAAAAAAATCTTGAGCGGACATGATAATATGGAAAATTCCAGAAAGAATAAAATCAAAAATGTCCTCACACGTCAAAGACATCTTTAAAAAAAATGGCGACCATCACTGCTGCATCGCCATTGTTATTTATATACACTTCTTCCGTCAAATGAGTCATAAAATTCATTCTTTTCTTTTCATCTGTCGATTTATATCAAGGAGAGTAATCAGCGAATAATAAGTAGAGAGAATGGAGAAAAAAATTCGTTGGTTTTTGTATTCGAATTAGAAACTGATAGGTGGCGCTAGGTTATGGTAGTATGCATGAATGAATTCATCTTTATTTTGAGGAAAAAATCGATAATAACAACACACAACAAAGCACAATGATATCATAATGAAGACAAAGTTTTAAGTTTAATTTGTCGGAATTATATATGAGAAATGGCTGATATATTTATATTTATATTTCACTATTAACTAGAAGATTGGATTAGCCATAGAAAGGTTATATAAAATGTCAAAACTAGAAAATATTGAAAAACGTGATGTCTTCAGGATAGGTAAGAGTATAGATGAAGAAAAGATCGGAACCCACAGTCACACTCACATTCTTTTTGCAACACAGCGAAGACGACAGTAATTGTCGGCAGAATCAAAAAAGCAATGCGAATGGAGTAATATACAGAAAATATTAGAAAAATATGTGAATGAAAAAGAAGAACTCATATACAAAGAAGTAAGGGAGAGAGAAAGAGATATGAACGAATTGAAGAACTGTATGTAGGTTTTAGCTAATTATCAACATGTTGGCTTCTATAATTTTGACATCGTTGTAAAAAAGTGATTTATCAATGACAAAATTAACTTTGAAACTAGAACCCACCATTGATTGAAGATGGTTTTTAATAATTAGATCCTATTCTTCAATTGGATCGTTTTTTTTATAATCGAACCTTGATTTGAGTTCTACGATCGAAATATCACAAGACTGACGGATCATTTTTAAAGATCTCTGTTCAAATGAGGCATTTAACTTGAATTAGGCAGTGACACATGATTGTTATTGCCGAAGTTACGTCACTTATGCTTATTTCAAATTATTATTCAAATCTAATATATTATTCACTTCGAATTGACGCTTCTTAGACAGTTACATATTCTTAAATCAAATCATAAATGTGTAGTTTTAATCATAGCTCTATTCAAATTATTAATTAAAACAACATAATTGTCACCTGGCTAAAAAATAAGCTGTTCACATGAGGATTGTTATCTATGCTCGAATTATCTTACTGAATACATGATTCGTTATGCACATGATAGAAAGAAATGTTTAATATTATTTTTAATGATCCATTATTAGAGAAAAACAAATGATATCATAAATAATGAATATTATCGTTCAACAACATTTAACCATGATATATTAAGTGTTGTCACAAAATGTACTCGACAAACATGCAAATGAATATTTAATATAAAAATCAATATTAAAAGATACATATAAATAAAAACATTCTCACTACATAATTGAACAACGTTGATTTTTTTTATGTAGTTTAATTTCATGTTTATGTTTACGTGTGAATAAATTTGAAAAATCATCTATTAAAGATGATGAAACTGTTATTTGTTTTGTTCCAAAATCAGAATAAAAATCATCTGTTAGAATTGTTTGATTATCAAGATGAGTTTGAAGAGTATTGTCATCAGTTTTATCAGTTTTATCTGTTATAGACGATGGTATATATGCATCAATATCTGATGTATAAATATTTTCTTGAACAGCACTTGTTTCATGTTCATTTTGATTATTACTAACAAAATTTGGTTGAAAAGTTGTTGGCATTTGATTTGTTAGACCATATTGAAACCAATTAAATTTTGATCGTTTATTAGTGACCCGATTAATTCTTGCTTTATTTAAAGTAAAGGTACGCATTGGTTGAAAATGACACAATTGTGATGGAGGTTTTTCTTCAGTTTCTTTTATCGATACTGCAGAATCTAATTGTGATAGAGGTTTTTCTTCAGTTTTTTTTATTGGTATTGCATAATCATGTTTAGTTTCTTCAGTTTTTATCTCAGGTATAGGTATTGGACTACATCGTGGAACAGGAATACATGTTAATGGATTTTCATAATTATCATTTATTGATTTTTCTTTCAATGTTGATATCTAAATCAAAAAAATAAATGAATTTTGAAATGAAATAGAACAAGAAAGAAAATAAAGAATACATACAGGTTTTATTAATTTATTAACTGGACGTAATTGAACTTGACGTAAAAGTTCATCAAATGTTGGTACAGGTGGAATATTTTCAGCAGGCTTTTCCAGCGTTTTTTTTCGTTTACATATTGATGATGGTGTTACATAAGTTAATTCTTGATCTGGTTCAAGTGAACGTAATTTACTAAACTTACGATCTAATTCTTCTGTAACACAAGACTTTTTTGGTTTGTTCTTTGGTGTTGATGGTTGCTGAATATCTGTTATTATCGATTGTTCAGATGATGATACACATACTGCAATTGATATTGATTCATGAGAAGCATTTAATGATGTTTTACCTTGAGTTTTAACTGTTTTAATTAATTCACGAATTTCTAAACGTTCAACAGATGTAAAACTTGATTGACTATGACTACGAGATATTGTTGATGAATGCAATGTTGAATCTGAGCAAAGGCTATCACGACTTAAACTTCGATTATGAGGACTAAATTAAAGAAAAATTTAAAAAAATTTAAAATTTAAAAACAAAAAGAAAAACTTACCTTATTGATGTATTTTGGCTTGATAATCGACGAAGTTGTCGAAAATCTTCCATAGCATCTATAATTAATGGGTCATTACGTAATGAACCATTTAAACGTTGTTGTAATGATGAATAGCTATTACTGGACGAAGATAATGATGATGACGACGATGATGAAGATGATGACTCAGTATCAAGGTTCATACGAGGTTTTTCTAAATAGTAAATACTAGAAAACTCCTATTCTCACTTGAACTTGACTTTTTTTCTTACCATTTTTTTTGATCTTTCGGTTTTTTATTGAATTGTTTTCTTTTGGTTTTTCTTTTGATATTTTTCGACGTTTACTTAAATTGGACAGACTTCCTTTTGTTGATAAACGATCATTATTAATACTATTATTTCGTTTATTTGTTTGATTATTATTGATTGGCATCTCATCTAATGTTGATATGCGAACAATACCATATTCAGGTATTTGGATGGGTCGTTTTCGATGTTTAATAAATGATGGATTTCGTTTTGGTGACGATGATAAACGTCTTTGAGAACGTATTTTTTTGTATTTTTTTGGTGAATGTTTTCGACGACGTTTTGGAGTTAGATTCATTTCTTTTGCATAAGCAACACTCAAGTTTGATTGACGATGGTTCATCATTGTATGCCATGAATGAGCTTTAGGTAAATGAGTAGAAGTAAATTGAGACATTTGTCCAAAATCAGAAACAGATTTTGTTTTTGATGGTCGACTTTGATGAGAATGAATTGATTCATTATATCCATAATCATGATGAGACCTTTTTGAAGTATCAAGTGATCGATATGAAGGGCGTCGATTAGGATAACTGGTTGATTTTTTTAAATCTTGATAACGTCTATTAGAATATGATGGGAGTGTAGATAACATGCTTGCATATGGATTTTGTTGTTGAGTGAGAACAAATGGTTGTAATGGCCGAGGAGTTGGATATGAGGACAGAAATTGTCCACGATGAGAAGGAGGTACATGGAATGAACCTAAAGACCATGGAACAGATGATAAGCGAAGAGGTGGTGTACCCATATAAAATGGATATGATAGCGGCTGTTGCATTGTTACATTCATGATAAGCACCCTTGTTAAAAAATGAACAATCTGATCTTTGCCGGTTAGTTTTAAATTTTAGTTTTTTTTTATATTGCTCAAATGAGTCAAGGCAAATTTTTTTGCGCACATATATATATAGGCATATAATAATGGACACGGTTAGCGCTCAGCAATTGACATGCATATACACATTTTTTAAAGGTCATGATCGTCGTGTCGTAATGAGCATCGAACCGAAACCGTAGCAACAACGGCAACAAAAGACAATTTTAAAAAGCATAAATTATATCTCCATCAATATCTGAATGATGTTCAAAAGTGCATATGTCCATTAGATATGACTCGCTTGAGTAAGATCAAATATAAAAAAAAAGCAAATGTACGCTTCTGTTTATTGTCATTGACATGTGTGAATTTAATTATTTTCGTTTATTTTTTGAAAAAACAATTTTTATGTGTCTTATTAATATCATATCATTAATTTAAATAAAAAAAAAAAACAAAAACAGAAGAAAACAATCCGAATTATTTACAAAAGAAGACAATCAGTTTTTGTAAGTGTACGACATTCACGAGTTTGTCCACGTTCACATCGACATGTTAACATACTAAATATATAATTAGCTGGACAAATAAAATCATAACGTAATAATGTTCCATGTGATGTTAGATCATTTGTTGTACAAAAATAAAATATTGTACAATCATACATATCTCGATAAAGACCAGACTGTCGACCAGCACAATCAAATGCTGATGTTGTACCACCTGATATACCTAATAATTGGCCTAAACTATTTAATGTATTCATTGCTGATTGTGGAATATATGGTGCCATTGTTCTTCTTGTTGTTGTTGTTGTCGTTGTTGTTGTTACAGTCGGATGTGTAAAACAAAATGTATCACCACCTGTTTGACATGAACGACCGGTTGGCCAATCACATGTACAACCATCCATTGAAAATTCAAGTCCAGGTGGACAAAAAAATATATGATATCGTAATGATGCCAAATCATCACCTTCACAAAAATAAAATATTGAACAATTTGTACGATCACGATGAATTCCATTACGACCCATTCGATGACGACTACATATATATTCAGCATTATATGTTTGATGTGCTATTGGTGGCGGTGGAGGTGGAGGTGTAACTTCAATGATAGGTGTATAAATTGTTGTACCTGATAAAGTACCAAGAGCATTTAATAATTTTTGCAAATGTGGAGGTAATATTGATGATGAAGGAGATAGTTGAGATTTAACATTAACGAAACGAACAGGAGGAATAACAGCAGCGGCAGCTGGTAGATGTGGTTGAATAGCAATAGCTGGTACACTAGTAATTGGTACAGGTAGATTAAGAGTAGCAAAGACTTGTCGAGTAATAGGAAATGGTTCTGTATTACAAAAGAAACCAGAAAATTCTAAAATAAAAAACAGAAAAAAATTATGTTTACTGAAATGTCAACCAATTACCATCATTATCAATACTCCATATAAATACTCCAGCTAATTGTTCTCCTTTTGCATATTGAGCCTTTTAAGATATATATTCAATCAAAATAAGAAAAAAGCCAGCTTTTTTAAAAATTACTTTTAGTGTTGCTGAATCAATATCTTCATAACTAATCCATTGATCACCACTCGTCATATACCAAGCTTTCTCAGTATCTAACCATACTTTTTGCCAACTTTTAGAATGTTCTTTCTCACATATCTGATAGCAAAGAACCAAATCAATAACTTTTAAACGATAAAAAAAAAATTTCAACCTCATAATAAGCAAGAAAGCCTCGAGTTTTTGTATATCGACCAGGAAAACCTGGACCATTCACTACAAAAAAAAAAAGAAACAAAGTACAATAATACTAGAACTAAAATAAACAATATAACAAACCGGGTGCATGAAGACCTTTTTGTCTACTAGCTAATGTAAATGAACGACCATAAGCTGGAATACCAATAAGAATTTTTTGTCTTGGCACACCAAGACTTAACCATAATTTAACAATACCATCCTATGATAATCAAATAATTAATTAAAAGAAGAAAAAATATTCACCCAAGCCCAATAGAATTAAAATGTGAAATACGTTGCAACTACTGTTGTTAATCACAGGATAATTATGTTACTCTATCTATTTTCGGACACATCTCTTCATCATCTTTTTTCTTGATTCTCGAGAAATGCAATAAGAAACTAGTTTATATATTAGAACGAGATATAACTGATATGTAGTTTTTAATCGCATATTAGCAACGTCTTCCGCTGTCTGTGAAAGAAATCAAGGCCAATTGATCAAAAGAGTATCACTCGATAAGATTGTAAATTTACCGGCTCATTAGGTTTTACTTCCAATGCGTTACAATGGATAGAGCATGAAACTCAGCAGATGTCCGGGTATAAGTTTTTATAACTATGGTAGTTGTCATTTTTTTTTTCGTAAACTCAATATGAAACCTAATAGTGTAGATTGATGTAGGTTTTCATACTCTACCAAATGACATAGCAATCATGTTTATCAATTAGTTTATTCCAACTAAAACATAAACGATATTGTATCTGTATGATTTACATAATCTACAACTACACATTAACACTATATATGATCACTACATTAATTTGTAGACCATAAAAAACTGCATTGATCTGTAATATTGGTTTTTATGTTAGGTCTTTGGACTGAGTCCTCTCAGATTATTTAGTTCACGAAAATTATTTTGGTTTCAGCAAAAAACAAAATAAATAAACAGAAATGTGCCGAATTCCATACTCTATCTTTCTATTATATCGAAAGTGAGATCTAAGACGAGTCGAAAATCCCGATCTTACCCGATAGTATCTTTTCTATTTCTTAATCTCGACACTTCTAGATCGTGTTTCACGAAAAATAGACATTTATTTACTTACTACATTACGTAGTGATTCTGATTCAACTTGATATGATTGATGATATAATGGAGCAAATACACCTGTCTTGTCATCCCATGGACCTATAGAAATAAATATAATACTATTGTTGATCATATTGTTTATGTATACCATAAAAATCAAACGTCATTAGATTGATATAATTAACTAATCTAACAAAACATATAAAATTGTTTTAGTTGAAATATGAAACAAATGTAAATAAATTACTTTTCAATTTTTTGAACTTCATATGCTTTAAGAAGATGATCAACAAATGGTGCTACTGTTAATGTAACTATTGCACGTGTCATTAACCGTTTTTGTTTTGAAATTTCCTAAGAAATTTTCATTATATAAGATTTTTAACTTTATCAAAATTTTAAACAAACTTCAAGTAATGTAGTTAATGCAACTTTATCTTCAGGAGCTTCTTCATCGGGAAATTCAAAAGCTATATCAACTCCATCAAAACCATATGATGTCATGTACCTAGTTTATTATTTTTTTGTTTTGATAAAATATATTCTATTTTATTCTATGATTAAAATAACAAAAATTACCAAATAAGACTTCGAACTAATTGTGCAGCCATTTTGGATGATTTAAGATATCGAGTATATTGAGCACTTTTTCCACCTAATCGAATTGAAAGTTTTAAATCTGGATTTGTTTTTTTTAATAAAGCAAGTTCTCGATAATGTTCTACATCAAAGAAAAAACAAAACATAATTATTCAATAATTAAACGATAAATCTCATTTACCAATATCTTCTTTTTGTATTGGTTTTATTTCTGGTTTATTATCTTCAACAGTTGCATAAGCATAAATAATATGTGAACACATAAATGGATCAATATATTCTATTTCAAATTTAGCTTCACCAGTTCGATATCGTGACCAATTTGTAATATAACATACACGATTAATTTTTGTATTATCATTAATTAAGTTTATTTGAATTGGTGAAGATTCTGTTATTAATTGCTCAGGTTTTTCTTCATGTAAATTTCTTTCTTCTATTTGATTGATATCAAAATTTTTTCGTTTTAAAACATTTATCGATGGTGCACGAAGTGGTACTTTGATGTTTCGACGTATAGTATCATTATTTCGTTTTATTTGTCTAAGATTAGAAGGACGTATTGTAGTTAATCGAGCTTTTCCAACAGCAGTTGGTTTCGAACATGCAGGATCAGTAAATGTATTTTTAATACATTTTTGTTTTGATTCATCAAAAATTTGTTCATTTGGACAACGTTTAATAACATATAAATAACTAAAACCACTGGAAAAAACTGCACAAGGAAAATATGTTTGACAATCGCGAAGATCTCGACAATAAGATTGTTTTAAATCTAAATAGAATTTAATTTATTAAAAGAAGAAAAAACAAAATGTTTTTTTTTTGAACAATTCTCAATCTTCTTAGTACAATCTTCCTACTTAACTATTATACTCTTAAACATACTTATTTGATTTGCATGAACATCATTTATTTGACCTACAATAATGATAAGGAAGATGAATGTTAAGTGATATATCAATGATAATAGTGAATAATATTGACGCATATTTAAATTTTTCTCCTTTTTAAAGCTTCGCTATAAATAAGAACATCCACAAGCGACTATAACGACGATTAATAGCAGACACGATACACTATAACTAAATATCTTCAGTGTATGTGATTGTTGAAAGAAACAAAAGAATTGCTCACTAATCAAACAATTCTATTCTCCGTGCGAGACCAACAAGAGATCCGCTTGTCAACAGCTTAAACTATGCATACATATCTGGTACATACCATTGAACATCAAATGTCATTTACTTACACAAACATACATACAATGTATTGAGAACAAGTTGGACAAAACTTTACTATTCAACTTAACTATGACTACCTATATGTCATAAAACAAATGTCCATTGACATAAAAAAAAAAAAAAAAGAAAGAAGGAATTTGACTCTAAGCGAAACAAAAGGAAATATGAGATAAGTAACGAATAGATCATTCTGTTTGAACAATAGTCATAACCTTGGTTGTAGATATGCTGTT